GTCAACCAACTTAGATAAGTAGATTTAACCATATGAAATATACCCATATTCTTGAAGCAAACTGGACAGTTAGGCGTCAACTGTCTAATCTCATGTAATTAGCACGACTACAAGGCACAATTTACTTTGGTATTTACTAGTAAAATTGTAGAGGCTTGTTTAAGTCCACCTGCTTTGTTAGACACAAATACATTGAATGGATTAGGAGGCGGTTTCATCCTCCCCCGGAATTTACGTTGGGCACCATTTTGGTTATGTGAGATATGTCCCACAGGCTATTGCAATAAAGAGCAGTCTTAGGTATCCTATACGCGTTCTTTGCAAATGCTGCAATAAACCTAGTCACGTCATTGGGAATTGTACAATAAAAGACAGAGTAATCGCGATATAGCATCATCGAATTGGTGAGGTGAATTCCAGGACGTAGTCGGATACAGATTCCGACTGGAAAAATTCAGAAAGATGATCAACTTTCGCTGCATTTAGGTTTATACCCTAAGCTGTTCTCAGAGGGGTAAGCGGATCCTTGTTTCACGTACTCTGCCTAAGGTGACCCTAGAATAATTTTGGGTTCTCCGTGGCACGGTTAAGCAGGTCCACTTTGAATTCCATATTGTTCTGAGAATAAGACCATCGGCTCAATTTCTTTGAATTTTGTATGCGCTTAGGGGTAAAAGATTCTTGTCTGTAAGCAATTTCTTCCACAGCCTTTGCTTTTTGTTAACCGTGTAAGGTATTGAGGTCTGTTTGTCAGCTTTCTTCGTGAAACTCGACAGTAGTTTGCGATGAGCCCGCACAGTATTTCTCGGCACATTTCTCAGTCCTCGGTTATATTTCCAGAAAATACAGATTCCAACTCAGTGCGTGTGAGTTCAACCGTCCGTTGATCAAAGTCACCGCGCTAGCTATTTCAGTTATCGGTCTGTCTGGTATTGAAAAGAGCGACTTCTTCTATAGCAAAACAACGTGGATACTTTTACCTAACGGGATAGATATGACGTTCCGCCAGGGCCTATTTACGATTTTGTAAGGACGAGGTCTTGGCGATTGGCCTTCGCGCACTACACTTGAACACGTGATTTATTGCGTAAGAAATAACTTGAACGTCATGCTCAGAAGGCGACCGTCAAAGGCCACTTTTGAGTCATGTGCGTAGGCCAACCTCCAGTCCACGTGAGCCGCGTTAAGGTCATCAATGATCAGAATATCCGACCATGTAGCAATATTTTATAAATCTTCTAGGCATCAGCTAAGACGACACGATTGCTCGAAAAAGAGCCTTATTAGCTTGACGTGTTTCATTCTCACTCAAATCGGACGGATGTAGTGAGCTGCACAGGTTTTGCAGCAGTTATAGATCTGCTTTGTTATATATTTTCAATGAAAGTGCATTACTGACCACTCCGTCCACGGAAAAGCAAGTCCTCATCACATCAAGAGCAAATGGGCAGTGGTACAGCAATGGTATTCAAGAAATACTGCAACACTTAGGCAAAATATTACAATGGCGAATCCGAAACTTCTGGCGAATACAACGCATGTTCAGATGATCGGGTTGTTTTTCTGCCCATCCTTTACACCAAATCAAACGATATCTGAAGGTACTCCGGTGCATATTTTAAAGTGCCTAAAACAACTGTCTCAGCTCTGCAAAATTTACGGAGCGAGCACTTGTTGGTGTGAACAAAAATTGTAAGGCAGAGGTGTTATCATCAGCCTAAGGGGGATTTCCGTTCATTGAGAAAGAAACAGTAGAACATATAATTCTGTGCCCGCTAACGTATGGCCTATAATGTCTTCCTCAAAACGTGCAGGCATCTCCAAATTTTGTCATGTAAGACTGACTTCCTGGGATACAGCACCCCAATCGGGATCCTATATATTTCGTAAGACTAAACTGCTTTCTAACGGGCCAAATTGATAGGCTAATGTGTTCAGAAGCCAGCTTTTCAACAATTAAACGACACTTTTATACTATAGTCTCGGCCTCTCTGATTATAGTATGTGATGTAGCAGTATAAAGAAGGGGTGCTTCGAAGTTGAACGTAGTCAAAAAGCGCAGAATAGAAACACAAGAATAAGAATAAAAACCAAATAAACGCGAAACACTAACCTAACTATTTTTACGCTCGATACAGTTTGTGCAAACCGGAAATATAATTATGTCTATTGTCCCAAGAGGGTGTCATTTCCTTTTATGAATGCAGCTCGGAATATTTTCCTATTGTTAAAAGTTACTTAAGATCCTCAGATTGCATAAACTAACTAACTGCAAGTGGCTACAGAGTTTAATAGCGTAATAATATAACTAAAACTATGGAGTGAAAGAATTCCTAGATAAGCTCGCTTTTATATCAGAAATTGAAAAAAAGATACGACGTTAGG